GTAACAATAGGTTCTTTCTCAAGCAGCCATGACTGAGCTTCATCAACGTCAGCCAAATACTGGTGAGACTGAAGCGAGTCATCAAGATGTCCTTTGCGAACGTTGGCCTTGTCCTAGAAGYATATTTACAATCATTAGAAACACATTTTTGATTTTTGATCTTCAGAACCACACAGTTTTGTCCTAAAAGCACATTTTCAATCTTCAGAAACACATCTTTGATCTTGAGAATTAAAACAAACTCGATATTCAGAACCACACACTACATGTAGTTTTGTCCTAAAATTATATTTTCAAACTTCAGAGAAATGTTCCATTATAAAAAAAATGTTTTGGATCTTCAGAAATAAAACCTTGCCCTATAAACATATTTTCAATATTTAAAACAAATTTTCATCTTCAGAAACAATTTTTTTTTACTTGAATAACACACTTTAGATCTAAGAAAAAATTTTCAATCTTTTAAACATAATGTTGATCATTAGAAACCTAAATTTGTGAAACTCCCTTCAAAAGTGTTCATTTAGCTGGAACTGAGTATTTTACCTTTAAGTCATTCCATTTTTGGTCAAGATCATCCAATTTGTCCTTGATTTGGTCAGAGGCAAAATGTCCTTTTGAAATAATACATAAACAAATTATTTCTTTGCAACCAAATCAAAATATCAACAAAAAAAAAGAGATAAGACATGAGATGAAGATGTTTACCTTCGTTGAGCATTTCTTGGCCACTAGACTCTACAGCTTTAATACGTGGTTCATGTCCGGAAATTTCAGTCTAAAAGTAAACAAAATAWTTGTAAATATAACTATAAATCAAAGAAAATTGAAAGGTTTTCTTGCAGTGAGTTCTTACCATGAGAGCTTGATGTTTCTTGGACAGGTTCTGAGCACCAAACAAGTCTCTTCCTGTGAGAAAAACACACCCAAAAACAGCTTTAAAAACTGACCTCATGTCTTCCTTACATATTATCAATTGTAATGTTTGTGTTTTATTTATAACCATGCACAGGGCAAAAAGTAATGTCTGATCAAAATTTCACTTATATTAGTCAAATTGATTTGAGAATGTTTGTTATGAAATGCTACAATATGCTTTTACTGGTCAAATGTTAGCTTGTTGTTCATTCATCATTATCTTTTCCCCCTGATGAACTAACCAGTGTTTGTTGATGATGCAATTGGTTCTTTCTCTCTTATCCAGGCTTGCTCATCTTCTACATCATGTAAGAACTGCTTCAACCTGGCTGCATTCTTAAGCTGAACYTTTCTTGCTTGAAGTGGAGCCTAATYAAACAAGTTTGAATCAATTCCTTGATATCAGGAGAACAAAATCAAAAGCATYATGAATTTTACATGTAGTTTTTGGTATCTTTCATTGAGGATTTCCTTCTTTTGCTTGATAGCAGGAGCATCAAAGTGGTCTGCTTCTAAAAATGCTGCTTGGGCATTGACAGCTTCAATCTTCTCCTAAACAAAAACAAACATTGAAACAACTATTAGCTATTATTCCATTGATATAGTGTGGTTGCTTTGTGAAATTAAGTTTTAACCTACTTCCCTACTACACAATTTCTGTTCCATTTCTTTGCTGTTGTTTTTTTTTCCAGAAACTGATAAAAAAACTTTGAATATAAATATTTTTCACGACTTACCACACGAGTCACAACATCAGCTTCAATCATGTCATGCTTCTTCTGAAGATTTTTCACAGAAGTCAGGTCCTAAAAGGTTTACAGGAAGGTGAGTGAGGAGTGAGTGATAGACGTATCCTATAATACCTATTAAGGCAATAGCATGCATGTATTATTTTAAAGTTTCTTATAAAATGTTCATATAATTACCTTCCCAGTATCATCTGTAGCAAGTAGGTTCTCAATTTCATTAAACCATAAGTCAATRTCCTCTGCTCCCCTGTACAAGAAATTATCACTTAGTTTTATCCTTCCCAGYCTCTYCTTTTGYGAGGCTTCCTGTCCAAAAACAGGAAKCCCAACAAAAGGGAGGCCTACAGAGATGACTAAYGCATCATAGACTTATATAACAAACAATAATGACATATGCTTTGTAGGTAAACAGGTGAGAAAAACTTTTGCTTTTCCTAAAGTRATAAAATTGTGCTTAAAACTAACTGACAGTATCTCGGTTTCTTCTATGGTATAATGTACAATATATAATTTCATGACAACTGTTTCAGTTTAGACATCATTACATATCACACTAGTTTAGCACTGAATTTACCTGTTGAATTGCTGCTGTTGTGTTGCTTCAATCAGTTTTTTACCTACAAAAAAAAAATTTACAAAAAAAATGTATCATATAGTGACAAAAATAATCTTGTACATGAGCCTAGTAATACATGTACAACCATTAATACTCCAAGTTATCTACTTAAGTTATTTAGAAATTAAACGTACAATATAAGACTAGTGCTGATTTGATTACAACAATAGTATGCAAGATTAAAACTTATACAATTGAAGGGGCGGATGCGAAAACGGCGTAAGTGACGATTTGAGCTAATTTTGAAAATTCGAAAAAATTGCTCAAAAATATCATAAATCAACTAACTTTAGTCTAAAAAAAAACGTTTCTGTGTTTTTTTCACTAATTTCGGCCAAAAAAGGCCAAAAATCGACCATAGTTACGCGGCGGCCTTGCTTGACAACCGATCATCGGTGCGTGAAGTCTATGAATCTTGCACAATGGAATGTACACTTCATGTGCGTGGCACCGTGAAGTGAAGTAAATTTGCATATGTAAACGTTAGGTTTCATGTGCGCTCAAGCAGAAATTGCACTCAGTCGTTTATTACCAAGAGCTCAATTATACTTCATTTAATTATTAGAAGAATTTCTTAAAGCTATCTTGATTTACGGAGCGACGTTTTTCATCTTTGTATGTGTGGTTTTTGATTTCCCGGCAGTTTTTCATGTTATTTCATTTTCTCCTGAAAATCTGCGCGTTGTTTTCTGCCAACACTTATAATGTTTTGATTTTGCAATCTGGTAAATAGCCAATAAACTAGAATTGTGACTGTTCAAACAAAAGGTATTACTGTCCATTTGCACGGTAAACTTTAATTTAAAATTATTGCAATTCATATTTTGGCGTTCTGCGCGGCGATTTCTCGAAAGCTGTATGTATATTAAGCGCATTTTGGTAATTTGACGACACAGTTTTCAAAAAGTTTTGTTTGTGCGATCTGAGAAATGTATTTCATTTAAGCTTCTTCTAAAGCAAACTGATTTGAAATTGCCGCAATAAATCACAACTACGATGGAGCTTGAAAAAGAACTACTTTTAAAGTCAAGTTGACAACGAACAGAATGAAGATTTGGACCTTTGCGAGTTAAAATGACGTAAAAGAAAGGTTGAACGTGAGCCCAAATCCACGTTACAACTTATTGTTATATCCTCCAAGATACTTGCTTACACGAATATCGAGGAGGATAATAAATCAAAAGTGCATTCACAAATGTGGTATTAACTTAACATAGTACCTATATATCTATGCGCGGAATGAAATGGACTACACTTTGCCATTCCTCAAGCCTTACCGGCCAAAACTATCCGCGTAAATAGTTTACTAGAACACTTTAAAGTGTTTCAGCTTAAAGTGTTTAGTTAGAAGTTTTGTTATCGGCAGCGTGTGCTCTGACCGCCGTGCCGTTTTTACAGAAGTGAAATGATTGCTTTGCGTATGTATACATGAAAGGAAGAAAAAATGACTGCTATAATTATGCTCTTTAATTGCAGAAAATTGGGGAAAAAAAACCTTCCTTACAAATGGGGGGAGGGGAAGGGGAGGGGGAGGGGCCTGGTTTATAGTTTCTGAAATATTTTTTTCGATTCCATTACATAAATATATCAATATTGCTTGTTTTTTCAATAATCTGTCTACCCATATTTACGCACTCGACTGTACTTGCGTACAGTCACAGAAAATAGAAATATTAATCAATTAACGGAAAACCGTATTGTAAAGTCCATCGTTTTTGACGGAAAGCAAGTTAAAGGTAAGTTCGATGAGAACTTTTAAGTAAGAAACACCGTTTTGCTCAACTTGTTCGAGTGCGTAAATATGGGTAGACAGATTAGTACATTTGAGAAGTCATGGACCGAATAACGGTGTATCTCAAATGAACTTGCTATTCTACTTGTAATCCGCGTTTAATTTCAGCGTTTTTACGCGATCTTTTTACGCAAGACACCGAAAACGTCGTTGTTTCCAGGTTACGTGGAAACTCTTGATATTGCTGTTGGTAAAATATGAATGTGTGAAGGACACCGGAAATGTCCAGGCTACTGCAAACTAATGTAACTGGGAATGGGATTTTGACAAAAAAAATAAACTGGGAAATGCGATCAGATGTGATCAAATCACCAAATGAAACGCGGGAGATTACCAAATTTGATAAGCGCTAAAATATCCAATGACGCTTCGCCAATCACAACGGAGAATTTTCGCTTGTGTCGACGGTTCACGGCAATGGACGCAGGACTAACTGGATTGGTAAGATATTGAAATTATCTATATATTGCTGTAGTTTTAGTCTTTATAATTCTATATGTTATGGTAATTAATTAAAGGAAACGCTTTAGAAAAGGTTTCGGTCAAAAGGCAAAGCTGATAAAGGTCAAACTAATGCCTAATAATGGTCGTGTGTCGTGAATCGTGCCGGGGTATGAAGTCGTGCGTCGTGGATCATAGTTCAAAATCTTATATTTATATGAAGGGCTATGAAATTGAATGTGAATGGTCATTAGATGCATCGCATTTCCACAGCTCCATTTCATAACACAAGGGCCGAAAATACAGTAGTATTATTATATCATTGTCAAATAAATCTAAATTTTAACAGTTCTTAATTTCTTAATTTATAGACGCATGGTCGTTCGCCCGAATGCTCAAGGTAAATGTTTGCTATTGTGATAAAGAGAAACCACATATTATAGAATTTGTACACAAAGTGCATGTAGGAGGTACGCACCTAGGAGATATTGTATTCCAAGCTTTTAAGCTTAAAGTTAAAACTTTACAACTTTTTTTCAGACTCAAAGCTGACCCAGAACCAGGTAATAACATTAATTTCTGTATCTAATAAAAGGAAACGTGATTAGTCAGTTAAGAAAACTGGTCATTTCTCAATGGTCTCATTATTATTGCTGTATAACGTAATGGCAGCCGCAATTTTTGCTTTTCATTTCTGTTTAATGAATTCTTCGTTTGCACGTTACGTCATAGATCCAAAAAATAATAATTTAAACTTAATTTCCCATGAAATCGATTTTACTCTAAAATATAGTTTAGAAAACTATGTTTCGAGATTTGATTTTTGAACTTATATGCGAATAATTTGATGCACAACGTCGTTTTATTTGGTAGCCAAAGTCATGTCACACAACGCCAGGTCACGCGCATGAAAAGCCGTGGAAATCATCTAAAATTCTTCTAAATCGTAGTTTTTTGTTTTAATATAGATTTAGAATTGCTAAATGTAGTGAAAATAAGGTATATTTGCTACTTTGTAACAGAAATTATGTTCATAACAGTTGGCCGCCATTTCTGGTGGACTTCATAGGTCGTCCACCAGTACGGTGCCGCCATACATTTCTTTGTAAAGATCGGCATATAAAATTGCTTATAAACTTGCAACAAAAGCTCGGTTCGACTCAATATTTCACAGAACTACAGAATTTTAATACGTCTATTATGCGAAAGTACCGAAATTTTATCTTTGACTTTGAAACTCTCTGAAAATGTTGGTGCCGTAGAACCTCGCCATTATACATTTCCTTCTAAAAAATTAGCGTATAAAATTGCTTATATCTTGGCAAATAAAACTCCTTTCGGCGAAAAAATTCTCAGGGATACAGAGTTTTACTCGCTCTTTCACATGGATTACTTGAATTTTGTTTATGATTAATTTTACGCACTCATTCTCCTAAGTAATGAAGAACACCATTATGGCTTTAGTCAGCAATTTTGTAGTAGCGGAAGACTTTGTATGCATAGATTAACTGAGTCCTAATTACACCATGTCAAGATTAAAATAGCTTTATTACTTAATAGACTGGTCAAATTATTAGAATACGCCTGTTTCTATAGTGATTCGATAAAGGACTTTTTTGTTTCCAGTTCTACTTTGACCAGACGAAGTATGGTTATTATAAATTTCTTTGTATTCTTTTGACAAACAAAATAAACAAAACTTTTAGCCTTACTCCTTATCGACCCTTAAATACAACTTCTAAAGCGCAGCAGTACACATATTATCGGGTCCTCCTGTGGCCATAAGAGCTAAATATTTATTTATTTATTTGATGATATACGATGTGTCTATATGGACGGTTACCGGTCAAGATCGTGTAAATGCTAAACGACCGGCAGCGGATAAAATGTTTTTTTTGTTTTGTTTTGCCTCTTTATTATCTAAACGAGCTTCCAAACTACAAAATAAGCCACTTATTTCTCTTTTTATTATTCTTATTTACAGATTTAAAACAACGTAATCAACATTTACGGAACTTTCATGATTTATACATTTCTCTATTCGAGAAAAATCTCACAACACGCACGGCGGACTGCCAGTCATGTTTAGATAATAAGAATGGGGGAAAAATCATTGTATCAGTTGCCTATTTAGCATTTAAAAAAGACCTTGACCGGTAACCGGCCATATAGACACAGCGTTCTCACAAAATTGCTTTTTAAAAACATTTGAAGAGAGCTCTGATAAATCACAACATGGATACCAGAGTGCCACTACGGCAACCATTGAAGACACAGAGGATGATGGTTAGTTGATAATTCATCACTTTTTACTCATACATTTTAGGGTGGTTCCCTAGTTGAATATTTGCATTGACTGTCCTTCGTATAGTGTTAGATCAATTGACAGACACGGATACATTTTCTGTGGAGTATGAGCCGCCAGAAACAGGAGATGAAGATAATATTGAAGATGATGATGAAAGCGATGCAGGTTATTAAAATTGGAGCGATTATATCCGGGAGTGGGACCTCAAAACCCTGACCCTATCCCAGAACTAAAAATTTCGATTTTTCATACCTTACAGCCCAGACTAAACCTAAGAATTGTACTCCCTGTTTTGCTAACTTTTAAATACACCGAAAGTGCGGCTTATTCCAGATTAAAACCGACCAAATTCAGACTATTGAAACCCTGAACAAATTGTAACCCTATATCTGCTATATTCCACAAAAACCGTAACCTAACACACACAATTCCGATGGATTGTAGAATGCTCCATTACCTAGAGCAATTTCTTGGATCTTTTGAGAATAACAGAATTCAATAGATTTAAATTATACTGTTCATTAAGTTTTAAAAAGGGTACCAGTGTGTTGTCTATGAAGCGCGCGCAAGCCGCAACACGTTTGAAACTGCTAGTCCAGTGCAAAGTTTTCATGTCGCTTCCTAAGCAAATATATATATATTTCCCGCTTAACTGCACTATATAGACGTATAAATTTTTTTCATACGTGATCTTTGTTGTATTGTTCTAGAAACAGCAATCGTAATCCCATCATCGTCTGAAGATGAAGATCCTGGAGTAGAGGGAGGAGATGAATATGAAGAAGATGGTGACAGTGATGATTCATGGGAATGCACAGAATGTTGGACAAAAAATTACCAATTAACAACTGTGTGTGTGGTGTGCTGGAAGAAGAGGACGCCATGGTAAGTTCGATGTAATCAGTAATTCCATTTTTCACGGTAATTTTTCACGAGTAGACTTTTTTCGCCGATTTGAACTTAAATTTCATATTTCAGTGGTTGACCTTTGAATCATACTTGATCATACTTGACGTTTATCAACATAATAATTTGTCTTTTTACAATGTTTTAGTTCAAAGGTCCCAGATAACACACACCTTTGCATTATCTGTCTGGCTGAAAAAAGGAACGCAAGTATTATTCATGGTAAAACTGGCCATCAAGTCTGCTGTATTACATGTGCTGAGAAACTTAAAGCTGATAGTAAGAGATGCCCTGTTTKCAGGAAGAAAATTCATGCTGTGATTAAGAATTTTTTTTAAGTATACATAATATGTTTCCTACATAAAATACTGTACTGAAAAATTAATCTTCAATATTAAGTTTGTGATAATATGTTCCCTATATATCCAATGCAACAAAAAGTATCCATGTTCTATCGTGAATTTTTATTGTAATAATCTCGACATCTATAATGATATATTTTTATAATTGGATACAATCGTAATTAAGTAGTCATTTACAAATAGTTAAGTTTCCCCATATTTATGAAAATTGAGTTGAAAAATGATTTTAAAAATATAGCTTGGTTTACCAAGGACCGTTCAAATGTTAATAAGAATGCGGTACCTGTACGTCAGTGGAATAAGTAAAATTAGCATGAACTTCAGCGCATAGAAACATTTTTGTAATCGATCAAAATTGTAAAATAAAATAATCAACATACTGGTCATTTGTTTAGTCATAATCATTCCACATGCAGTCATAGAAATGTTTGAAAAGCTCGTGGAGATTAGATGTGCAGACTTATTGTGCTTGTTATGGGCCGGTTCGCACTAGGCCAATTTTTGTTTGTTTTGCCAAAAAAACTGTCATCGACTACAGGAAACTAATGCGAACGCGTTTTTTCAGCCTGAACTTCGTCCAGCCGTACCAAACTTCAAAAACGCCGCTGGGCTGGTTTGGAACCCGACAAAAGTAGACCAAATGTCAAATCTGACAGGTTTGTCCATTAGGTTAACACCCAGCATGACGACAGGCAAATGACCAAAAACCACAGGAAATATTGTTCCTCGTGAGTCGACTGAAGGAGCTCTTATCGTCATGTCGTTCTACCCTTCTACGTACTATAACTTTTATGGCTTATGACTTTTATGTATGATGACTTTCGCGCCAGAAATACGAGACCTTTTAAATTTGATTGATGTTTGCGGTTGTATGACTCATTGTCCGGCCTCTAGTGGGAATGTGATTTAATCGTATATTGTTTGGCTTGGGCAAAAAAAGAAATATTTTTGTTCGGACCGGACAAGTCTTGTCCGTCTAGTGCGAATCGGCCCAAGGTAATATTTTTTAAAAAGGTAAAAAAATAATTAGCCTGTGTTACATCCGTAATTTCTGTCTAATTTCCGAAATCAAGCTTTGAAAGTTTGAAATTTGAAACTTGTTACTTAGCGGCTCTAAGGGGACTGGTTCGATAGGCAGGCTATTTCAAAGGCACAACTACTTTTGAAAGCTCGACCATTTGACCTGAAAATGAATAACAGCGTACTGAATGGAACCGGTGCAACAGAATGTTCAATGCCAATGGGGCATGGAGTTGTTATGATAATATTAAACGTCATCTCCAGTATTTTTGGCAGCATTGGAAACTCACTGGTTTGCGCCACGATTTACACCACAACTGGGCTACAAACTATGTCCAATTACTTTCTGRTGAGTCTTGCTGTTGCTGATCTGATCGTGACCGTGGTTGCACAGCCTCTTCTTGTAGCGTTTCTTGGTGGGAGCCTCKGAGGATCGTGTCTTGAGATCATCGAGTTTTTGTTCCGACTTACAGTCAACTTTTCGTCCTTCTCGTCAATTATTCACCTATGCTTCATTAGCGTTGATAGATGTCTGATGGTAACGAGGCCTTTTCGTAGRATCATGACCAAGATGYGATCCAGGATCATGCTGCTGGTATCATGGATCCTTCCCATTGTSTATGGAGTCCTTCACCTGACAGTCAGCAAGAAAGCCACGTCTATGTTCACTGTAGTCATGATGGCGATTTGTTTCGTCGTCACTGTTGTAAGCTACTTGTTTATCATTTTCCAAGTCAGGAAACAACGTCAGCTGAAGCGCAGCAGCATTCAWGTGATGATGAGTAACGAAAGCACAAACAAGAACATCGAAAATCGAGTTTACATGATGATTGGTGTTGCAACGATGGGATATATAATTAAATCTATATTGTTCTATCTTTTGTGGCTGCCCCATATCAACAGCGCGGCTTTGATTATCTTCCGCTGGGCATGCAGTCTTGGTATTTGCACGTCCGCAATAAGCCCATGGTCACTAAATTATCGTATCGCTGGTTTCCGTGTTGCTTGGAGGAGAATTCGTTCGTAAAATACTTATAACTTTTTTCTTACTTCTATATAGAGAAACCTCGAATGTGCTATTTTAACTAGTGATAGAAAAAACTTGAATGAAGAAATTTAGGTATTTTATGTATAGTTTAAAACACCTTTGCTAGGGTCATGGACCTTTATATCTGATAAAGGTCACTTTATATAAAGAATACTAATAAGGAGTGTTTTATCAGATATAAAGGTCCATGCATGTGAACAAATAGGCTCATTCTATTGGCCTAGTAGCTCATTAATTATGTATGAGTTTTTTAAAGATAATTATATGATTAAGCAGTTTGTCATATAATTATCTCATGATGAAATATCTATTTTTCTCGATTCCGTAAAGTTGTTATTTTCATTAGTGGAAATAAAACATTCAAGGTTTCTCTATGGAAGTAAACAGAATATTACATGGTCGCTTGTATCTCCGTTAAAATGTTAAAAAACTGGTAAACTACTACTTGTTGATGATAAATCCTTACAGCGGGGAAACTTTAAGATCGTTACCCGCATGTTGTATAATCGCTCGATGATATAAAATCTGATTACAAATCTGAAGTTTTGATTACAAAGAATATACTTTGCACATAGTTTTGTTGTTGTTGTTTTTATCGCAAAATTAGGGTGTCGGAAAGAAAGATGACTGCATGACCGAAAGTTACTATGGGTTGGGCATATATAGTCGATTGACAAAAGATTGTCAATCTATTTTTGATTCCCCTTCTACTGGGTGACATAGAAAATGAGATGAAAGCGAAATGATATTACCTATACGTGCACGCGGATATTTCTATTTATTTGCATTTATGGTCATTGATTTTTTGACCTGTGGTGGCTCTTAAAAGAGCCGTTTTTTGTTTGGGCTCTAAAAAGAGCCGGTTTTTTTGGTTTGGGCTGTAACCAGAACCAGTTTCTTTGTGTGTTTTTTTTTCCTGTAGGTCATCTGGAGAGAATAAAAGACACGAAATATTGATACGTGATGCATAAATTTCTATTGAAAGATCACAAAAATCAATCGCAACTAACGTCGACTTTTGCCACTATTACGCTCTTTTGTACAATTTGTGTTTCCAGGATAAATTTATCTTGTTTGCGCCTTATCGTAATTCTAGTCTGAGAATACTTCACTGCTTGTTCTTATTACATCCGTGGACAATAGAAATATCAAACACTTTCAGAAAAGGAGAATTGCATTTGAATCCGAACGTTTTTCACATCTAAGTTTCTGCTACATGACTACCTTTGTGCAAATATAGCCAACAAGGCAACTGAACGTCCATTACGTTTTATTTTTTTGTAATATTAAAAATTGTTTTGGAATGACATAAACAGATATCAAAATTCTCTTAGAATAAAAGTTAAAATTATGTTAAGACTTATTACCTGTCAAAATTATAATCAAAATCGTCAGGTCTGCTGCCGCGACGGCGAAATTTGATGGCCGCTAACTAAAACAAAACGCTCTTACGAACCTACAATTTAATTATTGTCTAGTCTGTCCCTGATTATAATTAACTTCTGATAGCAATACTTTCTTTATGATCCAATTTAAAGCTTAAACAACATTCACAAGGGTTTCAGTGAAGATTAAACTAAATCACAGTTCTTATGTGTCAATTTAAATACTAAAAAGATTTTTGTGAAATGTCATTACTAACGTACAACTCCTTTTTTATTCTCTACTGTGATGTCTTGGGCTATTTAAGAAGTGAATTCTTCTAGGGATAAATGGCGTTAAGTGAATTCTGCTGAGGTTCGTTATATAGGAACGGCATTGTCCTTACAATATCGGGTCTGTCGGAGTCTTGTCACTAACGACTGAGGAAGAAAGCGGCTAGTATTAGAAACCTTAAACACACGGTAAATCACCTTGAAGTGACTTTACGTCTGTTAATGCACTTTGTTAAACTGACTGACTAGTTTGTACGTAGCGTGTCTACGGAATTCTTTTTTAGTCCTTCTTACCTTCTTAATTGCTCTTTTATGCTGCTAATAATCTTTTTTTGTGTATGGTAATACTTATTATTTTTTTTTGCTTATGCTAATTAAAATTTGCTTAAATAACTAAAAGAGCATTAGTAATTATTATTAAGGAACGAGTTGGCATAGTCTGGTTAGGTGTCGACTGTGGACTCTACAGGCAGGTTTTCGAGTCTTACTGTATGCTTCCTCATTTCTTTTTTCTTCTTAAAATGTATTTCTTTCCTTTAACTGTGAATGTTATGATGATATCTTCTACATTATAGTTTAACAAAATTTTTAATAACGACATACCACAAACGTAAAAAGTATAAAACTAAGTATCGAGATACTACTCCGGTTGTACTATGGCACTATGGGTCTCGGTCATATCGACTATACATTTTGTATAAAACCTAGTCTGAGAATACTTCACTGCTTGTTCTTATTACATCCTTGGACAATAGAAATATCAAACACTTTCAGAAAAGGAGAATTGCATTTGAATCCGAACGTTTTTCACATCTAAGTTTCTGCTACACTGGCCTATTTATTTAGGGCAACTGAACGTTCATTACATTGAACGGGGAGTCTCAACGCTGACAACAGAGGCGGTATCGGTGTTTGTTTGAGACACTGATGACTTTTGTTGGTCAGACAGGTTACATGGTTGATTTTCTCCTTCTTGAAAGAACACAACAATAACGCTTGTATTGTCCGCACGTGTCTTTCTCTTTTTCCATTTCGACATTGCTAAGGCCACCAATCTAAACATAAAAAATGCTTTATTTTTAGAATCTTTAAAGTTCTAAATTATAAGCTGCCCATTATTTTGAAAGTTTTATATTTAGAGCCCCTCCACTCACGAGGAGAGCCAACATGATTCATGAAGTTTAACTTACTTATGAGAAACATCTGCATTCAATGGATCACTGACATCTTTGATTGTCTTCTGGACGAATCTTACAGCTTTATTAGGTCGTACCACACCCCATAATCCATCACTCGCTACGATGATAAACTTATGAACATCCGGGTTAATATCGTATACATTGACATCTGGAAGTGGAGACACCCAAAACTGGTCATGGAGAGCTTCGTAACTCCAAAAATCCCCTATGATTCAAGTGAAATAGAATGTAAATTGTCGTTCTCTTCTGTTGTGGACTATCGGACAGCTTGAAAGAGCAGCGCTTGATTGGTATACGTTGCGATGCCGAACGAAAGCACACAATCAAAAATAAGAGACGTTTAATTTTCACTGGTTGGCACATAAGATCTGTTTAAAATGTTAAATCACTAATGTCCCGAATCCAATACGTATAACACCAATATTTTGTTTTTCATTGAACAGAACAGAATAAAATAGTCTATTTCTCTCTTCAAATGTTCTCATTTGTGTTCTGCGACATATCTGAGGTTATGGTGAAACAAACTTACCTAACGATCTAGCAACAGCCAAAAAGGGTACTAGCTCAGTCTTGGTACTTCGCAGAAAGGGTCCACTATGCTGTTTTAGAACTGGGCGTTTCCAGGCCACACGATGAGTGCCATTTCTTGCAAGAACTGCACCCCCTAAAGCTTCAATACGTTTTTTTTCATCGGGAGATTCCGGCTTATGGTCTTCTGTTAGGTTATGTGATCTTATAGATGAAACATGATCGTCAATTCCCAACACAACGCCTGAGTCACCCACATGAGCAACGAACATTCTCCTCCCACGGATTATAACGGTAGACACCGTAGTTCCTGAAGTACTTGGCCAAAAGCACTTATATTTGGGCCACTTATCTGAAGTTAAAGAGCACGGATCAGGTAAACATTTTGATTGATTGATTATTAGGAAGATATAAACACAGCCACATAATCGCTGTGTGGCGTATACCTGATTTCTGTTTATTTTTTTTATGTCGGACTAAGTAGACTTATAGTAAAACTTCAATTCAGATATTGTATATACCGTATTTGCTAGAATAAGCGCTTCCCCCGATTTTCAATCCGAAATTTAATTAATAGGCGCCTCCATCGAATCCCCCTACCATAGGGTCGGTGAGTTAATACTCGAAAACATTTGAAATTTATTTTGCATGATACAATAATTTTAAGTTCAAAGTCGATTATATTTTATCGCTCGTTCTTTAAATGCTGTAAATTTTGCTGGAACCAAGCTTTGAAAAATGATATCGAAAATTTCATGTAACATACGAATCTGTTGCAGTAGTAAGGAAATTGTTATTAAATGAAAAGCATACTTGGACCATTTTGTGCAAATTTCGTGATAAATTAAATAAGCGCCGGAACGCTTATTCGAGCAAATACGGAAGATCACTTTTATTGATAACATTTAACCCAAATAAATTCAAATGATCAGTTGAAGCATCGTCCTTAAAAAGTTGCAACAGCAAAACCTCAAATGACAGCGAACTTCAAAACTTCCAAGAAGCGATGCACGGTCTCGGCGGATGAGAAAAGTAGCTCTGTTCGCAGAGTACACGTTTTTCCATGTAGAACTTTTAAATTGTATAGAATTTCATTGCTGGTAATATAACATTCCAAAATGTGCTTCTCATCAGTTAGTTCTGGACTCTTAATACTTGATTTATGTTGCTGTAAAATCACAGCACTTAGGAATCTATATTGATATTCACTTCTCTTTATAACTTCTATAAAACGCGGAACTACTACGAAACGAAACAAATAAACTAGAGTATCAAATTGAAGTAATCAGTTACCTGACTCCTTCCACATCGCTCGGTGAGTAGCAAGAAATCCTTCCTTGATAGCTTTCACGACATGAGCTGGATCGTTCGAGTAGAAACCTCGTTGTTTCTTGATCGTGTTCCACAGCATTTTCCTTGCGAAATAAGCCGCCTCACTACCTCCATGACCATCATAAACAGCAATATAATATTGGTCGATGTTACCCGCGGCAAAACTGACACGTTCGTGAATTGTTGAAGTTAGGTCTTCCATATACTCTCGGTCGCCTTGATGAGCGTCGCTCGATATAACTATATCCATGTTTTTGATTGATTTTTGACTGTTCTGACAGCAATACATACGATAACACTAATCAAGCGATTGAAATTTGACCGTTCCAAAAAATTAATTGGACATTTCGCGCCAAATCTCTGACCAATCACAGCGCGTGTCATCACGAGTTTTCCCGGAGGAAAAGCATCAGATTCATCTTGGAAATAAACCTTAAATTAAATTAAACCAAAAAAACATTTACGTAGGGCGAAAGTACTTTAGTTTTTTAGGCAGAAGAATACTCATATAACTGCTTTTCAACCATCTCAAGTCCGGAAAATATGAATTGCACTTTCAAGGTATGAGTAAAATCTATGAGTAATTCTTTTAAATTGATTCACCTTTAATAACTAGATAACTACAAAAATAAACGTTTATTCTATCTTAGTCTCTTTCTTGTTTTTAGAAATCTTGACTATAGAAATACTGGCAAAAGAAATTGACGCTTGAACAAAAATAATACTAAAATAATACTTTTCTGATATCGAAAGCTATTTTATTAAATCGTTGAGTTCATGTATGGCGGAGTTTAAATTTTAAATTTTGAAAGTATCGGAAGATTTTGCCGAACAGCTAAGGTTCTAGTATCGTTTGTCATCACTTTCGATCATTTCCGTATTCGAGCACGTGACTACCGGATATATCTACTCTGCCGACTTCCACTAATAAGCCAAGGACTTTTCTATATCGTGCTAAAAAACTAACAAGTCTGCACACGGCTTTGAGCCCCATCACTCTAATCACCCTACCCGTGGATTCTTTATAAACTAAATTACAGATTTATAGTGTGATTGTAATTAATTCGTGTGCGACTTTTCCTTATTATTGACGTGGGTGGTCGTTGAAAATGATTGAAATATATGATTGAAAATAAGGTAAAACTAGTAGGTAGTTCCTTGGAATATTTTCCAAAAATAATCCTAATTAAAAAGAACAATGAAGAACAGGTTTTAACAGATATACCAAGGTCGGACTCTCTTTGCTCTTAAAAGCAATCCGTCCGGTGCGGTGTCCAACTGAGAAAGTACGAAATTTGAAGCCGATATTTATAAGGAAGAGTTGCAGTCGGTCAAGAAGCCTTTCACTCTACAGTCGGACCATTGCTAAACAAATATTCTAGTAACACGATGCCCGATACGCAAGAAAAGAAACCGGTTACAGCTCTTGAGTATCTTAAAAAAATAGCCGAAAACAGAGACATGGCACGAATAACAGAAAGCTGCATTGTAGAGTCAATCGTTGTCGATGGGAAAGAAGTTAAAGGTAAATCAGTGATCATTTGCTTGCTCAGTACACGGTATGATTATAAGTATATTTTCCTGATTTCTCTTACAGTTGTAAGGCCAAGGAAGCCGAAAAGCTAAACAAAGGCTGTAGCGATGGTAAGTAACGCCCAGGTCATGTATCACATGTTTACATGTAGAAAACTTTTTTCAGACGCCGTTCATGACGATTAAATTTAATTTCACCAGAATATTCGTCAAGAGTCTTCTTGCTATTGACGTTTTTCTTGGTACATAGTTTCACTGCTAGCTTTTAGCTTTTTGTAGATATTACGAGGTTTAAAAGAAAAACGTTTAGAAAGATGTGTGAAAATAATGCGAACTGACATTATAAAAATAAGAGATAGGTTAAGTGTGTTAAGTTACTATAAGATTTATGATAAAGTGTTGAACCGGTGTTCAATTCATCTTAATATGAATTCATCTTAATCGTGATACTTTTTCTGTTAAATTTGGAGATTGTTTAGGGCAAATCAGCAAGATGGTACAGCCATTCCTCTTTATGAAATTTATATTCAGATCATAAGACTCGTGCTGCAAGCTTATAATGCTCAAATTTAATTTTACAATTTCCTATAAATAGAATTCATTTGACAATGAGACCTGTTAAGTTTTTGTGACTGAGCTACCGGCAGTATTCAGGAAGTAGTTTCTTTGGTTTCTTGTGTAACAATTCTCATAAAAAGCTTTGCAAAGCAAAAATATAAAATGATTGATTCTAAAACCATTATGTGTCGGGGTTTGGGCCTATTTTATGCTGATCTCGTTTCAAGGATTTTTGAGTTAATCTGATGGTTTCCGAAATAGCAGGACATAAGAATTATACAATTCAGAACTAAATGCGAGAATTTTCACGTACGATTACAAATGTGCAAAAGTTCCAGCTTGACTGCAAAGGAGCAGTTTCCGATCAAGTTTCCGATAGTGAAATTAGACAAGGTCACTTTATTATGCATCTGAAAGCTCACGTTACCATTCGAGCTAGAGCGTCAGAAGGTGAGGACAGCTTAAAAAACAACAGCCCGATAGTGAAATATATCTTTTTAATGGATGCTTTTTGCTTTTATGGATTTCTAGTGTAGAAATTATAATTCTCAAGTGATCAGTAAACATGGATAGCGACGATTCCGGTTTGGGATATGAAGAATTTCATGTTGTTGAGTAAGTAAACAGTAGAGATGTCTTTGTCTTTGCTACAAATAACTAGCTTATTATTAGACTGTCAAAAAGAAATGAAATAGATAAAATAATTTTTAATGTCCGCCCATCAAACCTATTGAATCTCTTTGAATCTGACTAAAATCATCGATTATTGGGTTAAATCGGGGGCTACTGCTAAAACATTAGAAATGCATTTTCCTAATTTTCCATACTACACCTACTTGCAGAAACGTAGTCATAGAAAACAGAACATTTGAATTTAGTAAAAAGAATAAATTAAAACAAGACAAAAGAAAGCGTTCAGCTTTTGTCTTTTTAAATTTTCTATGACAACGTTTTCGCAAGTAGGTGTATGTCCCAGTTTTACTTAGTTTTGCAAATGATTTCTTGATACAGTCATTATATTTACATGTAGTTTAATTATATTTGAATTATATCAGAGTGGCCTTCTGGAAAGGTAAAAATAGTCGGGCTTTGAATTTCCTAACCAACGTTTTAAGCGGCCAATGTTTTCACTTGGCTTCAAACTCTTACAAGTAAAGCACCCTAATATGTACGGATCTGTTTTTTTCCTAACGCGCGAACAGACCCACGAAATAGACTTGAAAATCTAATAAAGATGTTCTACCTCCAAAATTGAACCTTTTACACTCTGGAATCAAACTTTAGAATGTCATGCTTTCTGTTCTACGAGTTCTATGTGCTTTATAATTGATACTTTCATGACACATCGTCACTTGGTTTTGAAATGAAGTTTGAACAAGTTGGCTTCTGGTTCTCGGCCTAAAAACAAATTCAATAGAATAGAAATAGAAATATAGATCAATTATTTTGCTTATGTTCATTGTTGTATTTATCAATTTATACAGTTGAAACATCTATCTTTCAGAGATGAACAAGTATACCACCGCGTCGTCAGGCGACCGTCTGCACGACAAAATCATGTAAGTTCAATAGCCCATCCTCCAAGAAATTATGACATTTAGTAGTGAGATTTGTATATATCGGGATATCAGTTGTCGCTACGTTCTGAGGGCCGAAAATACGTATTTTGTTAAAGAAATTATTTAATGATCGCATATAAATAATGAACTTTTGTGGGTAGACTTGACGTCAGCTGTTTAACAGAAAATCAGAGAGAATTTTCTAAACTTGATAAGAACTTTGGTACTACCAAAACTGCACTGATTCAGACTCGCGACAGTCGCTCCGAGCTTATTGAACAGATTATACTGAAAGCTCATAAAAATTATAACTTTTTAACTAAGAAATACACTTTCATATTGCTGACATCATAGCGATTGTTCGAAACCACCATTACCTATTCATACTTTTCCATGAGCCCTTCTACTTCCAGTGTGTTCCTAATTGTGCACAGAGAATACAAGAGAGTCTATGATTTATTGCTCGAAATGATACTCAACTAAAAATTGAAATTTTCTTTTTAACGTAGGAACGAAGACGATGCCATTACTCCCAACACGATATGATAAACGTTTTAATTTTTGGCGTTTTGATGATAATTAGCAACACCATGACGGCACTAGCAGTTCTATGGATGCGTGGTTAAATCATAGTTAATCTATGCTTAAATTAAAGCAGTGGCCAGTAAAAGATGCGTGACTATATATATCTATTGTAGCTTCCGTCAAGATTATCGTCAAATTATCAAGTCATGAGCCAAACTATCATCTTTATAGCTGTCATATAAACACAAATTGTAAACAAACTAAACTGCTGATCTCGTGTTATAAACACAAAATTGAAATAATAGCCGTTATTAAATACTGTCTTATATAACTTAATCCAAACCAAAAAAACTTCTAGGAGTTTGAATAAGCATTTGGTAACTGGTGGGAACTAGCGGTAAACTAGTCCAGAATTGGACCCTCTTTTATCCTTGCGCGCGCGGAGTTGAAAACTATTATTTTGAATCAGCTTTCTCAACGGTCACGATAAAAGAGGACCCACTTTTCTCAATTTTCTTTAGCGCGCGCTTTGGATTTTTAACTTTTACATATAATATTATCTATAGTAATTGAGAAAAGAGGGTCCAGTTCTGGACTAGCGGTAAACTAGTGTGAGCTTTCAACGGCTTTCGGCTGATAATCGCCATAAGATGCTTAGCCTGTGGTCGAAAATAGTATAATTTAGTGTTGATTGTTTATTTTTAGGATTACATAAATGAAAACACTTATGACTAAAAATCCGATACTGCAATTAAGTATCTACTCCACAATACTGGAGTTCAAATCAAAGCTCAGTGTTGACAGTCACAGTCAAATTAGTCGCAGGCAATATTTAGCAACGATCGGCAATACTCTTGTTTTCTTTGCCACAAGATGTCTAAGAATAAAAGCCATCTACTTAAACAATATCATAGCAACTAACGGGAGTTAGTCATGAGTGTCTTACTCAGTCTTCCGCCATATGTGTATTGCCTTTGGCTGCCGTAATGTCCGTAATATAGCATCACAGCGTAACTAGTTCGTTTTGGAACCAAAAACTAATAAAAAGACATGACCGATCATTGCTTATTTTATAAAATTAAGGTCTGTAAGGTTGCTCTGTGAAATTTCGAGCAGAAAAGCATTGGTAATGTTTCTGCTTGATATATAGGTCACTGACGGGCATCTAGACATTTCAGTGTTTCTGAAAAGTGTAGCTACTTATGGCAGAATTTCACATTAAAACAGGTAAAACCTTGTTTAGAATTTCTTTGTACGCAGGTAAAACCTTGTCTCATTTAGGAATTTAGCAATCTAGGAATTATGAGATTTAACTTTTTAAAAGTTCAAACAAGTATATTACAGTATTCGTTTCTTTAGAACAGTTTTATGAAAATAGAAGCATTGAGTCATTGACTTAAGCATTATTTGTGGTTCTTAAAAGAACCGTTTATCATTTTGACATATCAATCGGAGAGATAAGCACTGATGACATCCTCGTGTTTGTCCATCACCTTCAACTGTTTCGATACAAGTCGTTTTGAAGTTTTGTAGAGTTTCTCTTGTTCTATAACATCAATGTCGCAATAAACAAGGTTTACTGAAAGTTGGCAATGTCCAACAGGCTTTCTACTATAACTGTTAGAACTTAATAAAATGTAGTGTTTCGACAAAAAATAATGTTCGTTGGTAAATAAGGGATTCAAGAATGAGGGGTGTCATTGGCCTGATTATATGAAGCGGGCTGGACCGGTACGTTGACCGAGATCATTATTCATTCATCCCGTCTCGCTATTATATGAGACAGGATTAGCAGGGATACCCCAGCTGAATCAATTAAGGTGTTTCGATCGTAATAAATAGCGCTTCTCAGTCGCGTATCTTTAAACTCCAACTACGTCGCTTAGACTAATTTAGAATATACTTCTATAGGTTTCACAAAACTATGACAAGGTTATTCAAATTCATGTTGCTATCAAGCCCTCTAAATCAGCAGTTAGGCTCACAAAATTAATGTAGGTGTCAGTAAATACAAGTGGGCGAAATAGCTGTTAGGCATGCCCGTGTGAACGCCAATCCAAAAGCGGGGCTAGACGTTTAATAGAAACAACTGAAATCTTTAGCTTTTTTGTAAGTTTACCTCATGTACCGTAACCTTTTGGTAACCTTGACGCCTCGGCGATCTTTATACCCCTGGTGTGTTTATCCTGAAAACGGCCTTCACCAACACGAATATTATGGTGAATATATTGTTTTTTGATTTCTCAGACCTGCTTTGTGAGTTTGGTTTCATGATGCATTAAACGTTATTATTCTGACCTAGATGTTGTGTTTGACTATATAAAATCGCCCGATTACAGCAGAGTTTGTTTACAGGCGAAGACGGCAGTCTGTTAACAATGGAATGAAACTTTAAGAAAATGCATTTTCTGGATTATAGTATAAAAGAAATAAAGTATGACAAGGAAAAAATAAAAAAGTAGAAGACATGAGAGGAGTCATAAAGACTTGAACTCTTATCCTTTCGAATCGAATTCAATGACATAACGCGACATGCCACTTTGTATAACAATATAGTTTTATATAGTGTCAATAGCGTTTTGATTTCAATTTGTTCTGGCAAAACCAAACAACTCACCCCAAAAACACTTAATGGTCACTTATCGTTCTGATGTCTTCGAGTATAAACATCAGTGTCTCTAAAAAATTCGGTGCCCGGCAGTCCAAAATTTCAACCCCCAAAGTGAAAATTTATTTGTCGTTATTTTCAAAAACCAAGTAGCGAGTCACAAAGACGCATACTCAGATTATCTAGAATACGAGCTTTAAGGCTTGCAGCTTACTTTCTGATGAAGATATCAGCGAATAAAGATTTGAAATATATGGGGACGCCATCTTTGATGATACCTTTGATCATCCAAGATGGCGGCTGGTTTCAATTGACTTTAAAAACTCTGGTTTCCTTGAATTCCTTTGTAAATTTTGGTCAATTATGGCTTTATTTCAAAGAAAAATCACCTTAAGTAAGTTCTTACGGAGTTGAAAGAATGATTTATCCAATTTCGAAGTTTTTGTTTTCGATCTAAAAGTAGAATAAATTAAACTCCGCACAAACTAAAACTTCTGTGATTCGCCACCAAAGCGTTGAATTCGTCTGAAAATTTCCATACACACTATCTAGAAATATATTTAAGATATACTGTAAGAACAACTCTTTAGCAAAAATATTTTGGATTTTGCGAGATTTTTTGCGTGACTATGACATCACATGCACACGATAAGTAAATTTGGTTGGATCTCTTCTTCTTCTCCTTCTCGTGAGAAAGGAATGACGGTCTCAAAAAGCTGGAAATGTTGTGTTGTTTTCTATCATTATCAGAGAATCAATTAAAACCAATAATGCATTGAATAACGAACTATTCGGAAGCCGCGTTTCACGTCTTTTGACTGTAAACAAACAGACGAGGCTGTCTCAAGTGTCGTACCTGTCCAAGACAATTCTGTCAAGGACACCGTCAAACGATAGAATCGTTCTGGATTTGCCGCTCGTTTATTAGTTCTCAAGTACGGCAGGTAGCCGTAAATTGCAAAATATGTTCGTTTAACACCAGTAGAGGTTGAGTAAGCTCGACCAGAAAGAAAGAAACACTTCGCAGTCGGAGTGTTTGTGTAGAAGGAATTCCAAACTCAAGCACTTTCCCTACTTTGGTCAGTACTTTCTAATCCGATCTAGACTACAGCCTCAGTTTTGGAAAATCAGATGGGTAGTGCTTCCTTTTACTTCTAGACTAAAAT